AAGCAGTGAAAATCATTAATAGGCAATCGTTCGATGGGCTGAATTGCATAAAACGCATGATCGCGCGGCTAGTCTGGTGCGCGTTGCTGTTTATTTACCGATTGATTTACCATCCCCTGGAAAATTGCTACATTTTCTCATTCACTGCTACAAAATTTTGTCCAAAAATTATCACATTTTGGTTATCCGCTCAATTCTGTTGTGTTTCAGTTAGGCAAGTTTCCAAAAATCGAAATAAGCACGTTAAATGCATTGCAATCATTGACATTACATGAAAATGTTGGTGAAACATTTGTGGATGGTGAACGAGGTCTTCTTCAGCACATGTCCGATCGCTGGTAAGTCACCACTTTATTTCCCTTCTGAAAATAAACTCTTCTCAAAACTGGGTGAAAAGTGTGGCACACTTAACATTCGCTGTCATGAACACGGACCTCTCTTTTCGTGCTAATCAAATCAATTTTATCAGTGCTGTGCTAAGCAGCTCTCTGTATGTCGTTGATGAGAATAGCCATCAAACCTATCAAGGCTAAATGAACAAAAAAGTGCAGCTGACCGAGGCTTGAGGCGTTAAATTGCATGGAGCAGTCAAAATTTGAGGCCGGAGAAGCTCATCGTAGTACTAAATGGCAAGAAAAACAAATGAATTTCAAAAATATACCAAGGCACCAAGTTAGGACTATGTATGTACGTGTATCCCTTCGTACTCAAAAAAATGCACCAGTGGAGCATACGTAATTCGATTTTATTGAGACAGTACGGGACAAAACTTCTTAAAAGTTTTTTTTTTTCGCTAATTTACTTCAGGAGTGCGGGCGGTCTGGATGGTCTGGTCGATTATGTTGTTTCCAGCACAGCAAATGCTCTGCCATACAGTGATTGGCTTCGGCACAGGTTCAGACAAGCTCAGAGCGGCATCCGAAATGCCTTTTCGAAATCCGACCAAAATCTGCAGGATTCTATTGCGCAGTTTTCAAGAACTCTGAACTGGTAAATTTTTGTCACAGTTTTATAGCGCTCGTAGTTACCGTTACAGTTGTCAATATGCATTTTTACCACCCAATTTGCCTACCCAGTATGCAGCTAGGGTGATAGTTGCATACCAATCTGCAAGCTATTTTACGTTTCTTTTGACGGTACAGTGACCGCGTTAATATCTTTACACACAAAATTAGTACCTTTTTTTTCAAATGAATGCTTGTGACCAAATTTACCCGGGCACTGAATGACTTTGATCAACAGATTACTCAAACTTGTTGTTGGGTGATATTTGTCGAAAATCTTTTGGCTTCATTGTCACGTTTCTTCTCTTTTGATGCAGATGGTAAAAAAATTGACAAAAATTTTTTTTGAACTTCGTTGACGCTTTCATTCATAGAACAAGTTTAGATAATTGTTGTAGGAATATCAGCACTGGTGCTCCGCTCAAGAAAACATTTAAAGCACTGGTTTTTAATAACTTATAGTTTTCAAAAATTATTTTGCAGGCCGCATAACTGGATACGATGCATGGCGATACATAGCGGTGGTCAACGAATAGCAGTTTGTCAAAACGATGATTGCATCAGAATTTTCAGCTGTGATCCAGATCGCCGTCCAATCACTCTGAAACATCAGCAGCAACAGAATGTCACTGATATGGCTTGGAAGTTAGCCTTTTGCTACATGGGTACTTTCAGTTGAGTTCTCGAACTTCTAGATGATTTAATATTTTAAGTAATCATTTTTTGAAATAGTTAGGTTTTTTGAAGGCCAAAAAGAAAAATGCGGAGACACCTGCAACACCATTTATATTCATTTTATGCAAAACTTTGTGGAAATGTGTGTCTGTATGTATGTGTCTGTTTGTATGTGTTTGTGTCTGTATTACCTAGCTTTAACTTTACGGCAGCTTAAAGAATTGAAATTCTACGTACCTACTGCTTGGCCTGTAAAAGTTGGAACTATGAGTCGAGCTAAATAGGAATTCAGTTATTCGGGACCTGGACTAGGAGCTGTGTGTATCTTCGGCTTTATGTGCAGAGTTGCGCCTTCGTCCGCTGCTTTATTTGTTACTTTGTTTAGTGGCGGGCTAAGTTAAATGTTTTTTCAGTGGTGTTTTTTTTTTTTTTTTGTCCTCATTGTGCCCAAATCCTCTCTGTTTCTTTTCATTCTCATTTATGCTAAATTTCAATGCCTGTTTGTTATTTGTGCACACCCGCTGCTATTATTTCAGGCCCTATGGCCGCATGGTATTAGCAGTTGCTTGTTCTCACGCTGTGTTAATTTGGAGGCTTGACAAACAGAATGTAAATATTCGGTACGTTCAGTTAACTTCCTTAACTAATATGATGAGCAGCATTGAAAGTGGTCGCAGTTTTTATCATTCTCTTCAGGCCGTCTGTAAATTGTGCCGAAGTGATCGATCTCTCCTCATTTTCTCCGATTATTCAGTGTTTCTGGGATTCATTGTGCTCGGAAGCCTTATTTATTGCATCTGCAGCATCATCTCGATTACAGGTTTCCGTGCATTTTTACACTACTGATACAGCAGAAACACGAAGAATTCATGCTCCCATGTGCATGATGTCTGTATGGCTGCATATTTTAACTTCATTGTTACAAAAACTAGTTCGTAAGAATAATGTCTCCTACCGTGTACCGGACCGTGTATTTGAGGAAATTCTTTGGGACTCTCTATGTATTGACTTTTTTCAATTTTTTTGGCCTTTAATAGAACAGTTTTGGGGATCCATGAATCGAAAAACTGCTGGTCTAAAAGTTCGAAAGAGTTGTTCCGCTTTAGCTTGAGGCCGGAAACTTAAAATCGTTTTTGATCTCTTTCACTGTCGTACAGAATCGAGATCGAAATTCAAGCAGTTTTCATGGTTTTGGAATGAGGTGATTTATTACGGAATGCAATCTTGAAATTTCGGCTTTGTTTGAAATCGTATTTGCATGAAATGGTCTGGAGCTACATCTTAACTTCCTCGTTTTCTAACTGTGGCGTTACTTTCAAATGCTCCTTGGTTCCATAGTTCCAAAACACTGCAGGTGGGTAACTTGAAATTTTGGTGCATTTTACTCGACTAATGCTTTAAAAAGGCATCTTTATAAATCAGAACCAGTCCTGCGTTTCTTTTACCACTGTGAATCCGTAGAAGATTATAGCAAAAACGTATGATTGCATTGGTTGTTTGATGTATGTTGATATTTGATTTGGTTTTGAAATGGCAGTTTTCTTGCTAACGAGCATAGTGTAATACTTGTTTATTATGCGTTTTGTGCTGTATAACAACAGTACTAAAGCATGTTTTCACGGAATTGTCTGTATGTGTGTGTGTGTGTGTGTGTGTGTGTGTGTGTGTGTGTGTGTGTGTGTGTATGTGTCCGCAGCAACTTTCCACAATTTTCAACTCGGGAACCACAAAGGCTAGGAAAATGAAAATTTAGGGTAATATTTCCCACCCACGTGTGGCTTAGCATATTTAAATTCAGCTTCTCCGTACCCGCGAATAACAGGTACGGCCCCGTAAAAGTTTTGGCACGAAAAATTATTATTTCGGGAATCACGGAAGCTAGGAAGCTGTAATTTTATGGGTATGTTCTCTGCCCACGTGCAACCCTTCAAATTTAAATTCAAAGCAGTGAAAATCATTAAGCAGGCAATCGTCCGGTGGGCGGAATTGCACAAAACGCATAATCGCACCGACTGCCCTGGTGCGCAACGCTATTTATAATCACTGTAACGAACAATAAGCAAAATATTTGAGGAAATGAATGGGTCATCTTTCACACTGAAAAGGCGCCGAAACCGCTGTACGAGAGAAAACGAAAAATTAATACTTATTATTGTTAGTGGATTTAGTATGGTGCGCAGAGTGACTATCATGAATGGCATTTTTCTGCTTTAAATGTTCGCTTTACTACAGGTTTTCGACACAAGTTGTGGTGAAGGCGAAACAGTTGGCTCGTGGATTCACAGGGGTCACATTCGACGTTTTTTCGTTTCTCCTGATGGCTGCAAATTGGCTGTTGCATATGATCTTAATTTTATAAGGTATCATTTACGGAATTTCGGAAATTTCCGCGCCATTTTTTTTTTTTTGGTTTAATAAACAGTTATAATCGAAACATCCGCATAGAAATGTTGGAAAAATGAGGCCTCCTGAAATTAATAAATGCAGCGAAGCCAGCAATGTTAATTTGCCACTGACAGATATATGTGTGTGTGTGTGTGTTTCTCGATGTAACTGTATGAAGACTGTCAAATGTACTCCATGCAATTAAACATCTTTTGTTTTGTTTTTGCCGGTTGCATTTTTTGTTTTTAAGTGTTTACGATCGGCATACTTGGCGTGAAGAACGATGGAAA